CCAAATCATCTCAAAATCCACATCAGAGGACGGGATGGGATCAAACAATTAACCCTCAACAAATTCCGGCTCCTCGACACGCCACTTGCACATCCGATTTCGCTCCAGAAATAATTTTTTCGATCGGCTGCAACTGCAGACAAAATGGCGGAAAAAATACGTTCTTTATTTCGAATTCAGTTCGGAGGGGAATCGGACGAATGACGCGACAGCTTCGTTGCCCCTGGCAACTGTCAATCACTGAGTTCAAAGGTGCCCGGATGACGCACTGACGTCATGGGAGTGGCATTTCAAATGTCCCGGATGAACGATGGAAAAGTAGTATAGTGTTTCCAAAGTGTGTCTTTGCATCAGGTGGACAGGCTAGGTTGTGCGGCGCACAGGATACCTCCAAGCAGATCTGAAGTGAATAACAGTTTCACCTACTTTGTTCGTACAATAAAGGCAGCACAATATAAATGGATTATAGACAATACAAGACTTTTAATAGCTGGCCAAGATAAGTTGTGGTCTTGATGGCATGTCACTGCATGAAATCTCATTCCCCTAAGCTTTAGTCTATTCAGTATGTACCTGTAACATGGTACTTTTCAGGTTTTTCTTTTTAACAAACGGAAAGCCATATTAACTACCACAGTACCACCATTATCTCAATTTTACATTTTTGATTTCAAGACACATTGTATATCAACGTTGATTTGGCTATGCTAACACACATTAAATTCTAAATTGGTATGGAAACCAGTCAAGGAGTCACAAAACATGATTAATATTTAACCACCATGTGCTTTTATTGCTGTAGTGTAAACCCATAGGAAGCATTAAATGCAACACAATAACTTAATTGGTCTGATGAACCAAACTACAATGACAGAAATGACATCTGGTCCTGTTATTGTTGCACAAGGATTGTTGTTGCTATTAGTGGCATTAACATTATATCATTTTGAATTTCATTATAATGCCATCACAACAAAATTGATGATAACAATAAAAATGAAAGACCAAAAAATGATGTGTCTAGGCCAATGTATTATCTTGTACCATTGAACAACTGTTTTCTTCGCTCTTCTTTAGAGGCCACACCAATTTAATTTGTTGGTTCTCTGGCTTTTTCATGAAAAATATGAAGCGACATGGAAAAAAAAAAGGTCCTAGGAAGGAAAGGACTTTCATCAATGGTTGGGGGCAAAATATCAGCATTTTTTAGTTGATTCAGAACCAGAATCTTTTTTTTTTTTGCAAATCAGAAAAAAATGAAGAGGCGAATCAATCCGAGAACCAACAAATCAAATTGGTGTGGCCTAACTCTTAAATAAATTGACAGAAAAAAACTTACTAATGTTACACACCCACGTTTTGTCAAAATACACGATCTATACCAACATTGCAACAAAAGAAAATTTCTTTAAAAAAGAGCTCATCTCTCTTCTTCTTTTTAATATTTACCCAAGTACGTACAGTATAATTGCCCAAAAGGTTGAAACTAAAGGAAATATATACAAACCTCAGATTATAAATAAATCTTCGAATCCCTCTTCCTTAATGATACCTTATAAATATTACTGTAACAGGGTCTTGGATACAGACCAGACAGCTAAAATACAGGATATTGGTCTACATGTATATGTTAAGTTAACACAGCCCTATTGTGAACATTTGCTTTTTTATAAACTTATGATTTGGCAGTTAGTTACAACACCAATATATGGTGGTTTGGAGGCACTTTTAAACTGCTGAAGGAAAGACAATGGCATTAATACTGTAGCCTGGGTGCCCTCTGATTTGTAACGGTTACCCTGAAAAGATTTTTTGGGGTAGCCATTAAAAATCGGATGGCACCCAGGCTAATGAATATTGTACACGTACAATACCCCTAAAAAAGTTCGAAACACAAACTCTTCAACCTGGTTGTGAGAATTCATTCTTTTGGAAGAGTTTAAAAAAAAAGAAGAAAAAGAGACATGGGAAGAATGTACTTCTATAGCTAAATCAATAAAATCTGTTGACTTTGAAGTTTCATTGTATACCAAAACTTGGGCACAGTGCACAAAATACATGCAAAACACTAAACTTGACCTTGTAATATGCAGAATTCTTCCTAAGGAAAGTTAAAGAGGTATGTATCTTTCTAAAAAGTACAAAGAAGAAACACCATATCTTTCCTTATTTCTCCAATATATTATAACTAATATACAACATACAACTTTTTTTTTCTACAAAACTCATGACCATTTTGCTCATAATTATGAACCACAGCCAATGATTGAGGCTAATCTGCTATTCACAGTATACATGTAGTATTAGAAAATTTTGGCTAATCATGGTGGGTATTGTAACTCAGCAGTGACTCTGCATAAAGAAACAATATTGAATCAAAATGAAATATCTGATTCAAGACTTTATCCTCCTTGAGAGGGGCGTCATTTGTGGCAGAGTCTCAATCTCCTATGGCCATTTGAATGTCTACATCAGCAAGTACAAGTACCACCATAGAAGTCAGTCAAGTTTCATTTCATGAAGGCCCCTTAACACTTACTAGTATTCCAAATCAGCATGGATTTAAGTAGAAACAGAAGGAATGAAGAACTGACGAAATGGCAACACATTTGGGAAACCCTAGTTATACATTGTATCATACATATAGCCCCTTCACACTAGAGGCAGAATGAGCCAGAATGCCTGGACCACAATAAGAATTTTTTGTATATTCCTGGCAACTCAAAGTACCGGGTGAATTCTGAAAATTTGGGAGTATTCTATATGTTAGGGCCTATTTCAGTTCTCCTTTGAATGCGATGTTGTAGGAATGCTGTAGGAATATATATTTTTAGAATGCATACTGTAGTTAGAATACACTTTGAATGCCGTTCAATATTTCTCCACTTCAAAGTCAACTAGAAAGTTTTCAGGATGACCAGACCATTTGGGCCAGCAACAACAAGAACAGGTACAAATGTATCTGGAATGCAGGGAGAATTTTTAGAACACACTTCAAATATCCTGAGGACTGTATAAAGAATTTTCATTCAGACGGCATTCTAGCAAACTCCACCTCTAGTGTGAAAGGGGGTACAACTACAAGAGTTTTGTTGCATATTCATCTAGATCCATCATTCCCTGAAGTACACAATTTCTCCCAAACTGGGCTTGTCACAGAACAGCACTTCCGGAGCAGACGTCCTCTCCTCAAACACAATTATCTGCAAGAGAAAAATTCTTAGATATGCAGCTGCAGATACTGCAGAAGTAAAAAAAAGCATAATATATTTTGTATCAGAAAACAGCCTTTTGAGTTACCTATTAAGTACAATGTATTATGACACAGTCACGGATTTCACAGACTTTACAGATCTACATACACATGTTGGTTATCTGAAAATGTCTTCCAACAAAAATGAAAACTAGAAGTAACATTTGCAAAGCAAATGCATGATGTTTACCTTCGCATATGGTCTGCTCTGTGAATTTTTACTCAAACACATTCACATACAATGTATATGGTGACAGGGGTCTAAATCCCTCCTGCTACAAAATTGCAACATGATGTAACCCAACATGTTACCATGGTGACAGATGTCTGGCTCAGGTCATTGACCTTATTTGTAATGTTTGGAGAAGAAGAAGAGGAAACAAAGCAAAAACAATATGTTTTCCTTGGGTAAACATAAAGAGAGAAGTGACAGGGATACAGCAATAAAGCAACAAACTGTCTCTATCTTTTGAAAACATTAAATTTCATGAGCAACTTTATTTTAAAAGAAGCATGAATTGCTTTTTTAAGTAGCTACAGTCATGTCTGCGTTACATTTGACGGAGGTTGCGTTAGCGGCGCGATACTGGTGCGCCGTCGGCGCGATAACGTCGCGACGATATCGCGACGATACCGCGTTACGGTAACGCAGTTTGTGTGGCCGGAGCCTCATAGGTAGCTCCGCGTCACCCGCGTTATTTCTCGAGTGATCGGTCGCGTTATCCATTCATATGCACGGGGGGCGTCATGAGTTGATTAGTGGCCCGCCTACACAGCGTGCCGAAGTAACCAATTATGTTCAGCTATCCCCGTGTTTTCGGTACTGAAATAAGCATATTCATACCTGTTTTTTTATGTTCCACGTAGGTACCGGTTTTATTGACGTTTGTCAAAATCAAGACATTTAATGTTACAGATAAGCCTAAGGTAGGATAAGAAAACTTTGAAAACGTAAGTTTTAGAGCACACTAGGACGTGTGCCCCGATCAGCGAAGCCACGCGGACTGACCGGGAGAATTCGGTAGCGGAATACACATTTGCTTACGGGGAGGAAAGGCAACAGGCATTTTTCTAAAACTCGTATGCGAAATATAAGTATTGAACAAACATATCATGATTAATTGCATCCACCAAAACTCTGTAATCAAAACAATAGTTTTGAATGTTGAGTCAAATCAGAAGTCTCGAGGAATGGACTAGTAATGACGATAATTAAAGTCAAAATTCACACAAATCTCGCGATAGACACTGCGCGCGGCGGCGCAAGCCTGTCAAAATTGATTGATGAACTCCGACCCAAACGCCGACAGGGCGGTCTGAGTTTCAGATCAAAGGTAGCGGCACAACCTAGCCCGGCACTTTACTTATCCTAATGTTGTCCTTTGCCACACTCACTTTTTCGGTAAAAATACGTCAAACCAAGGAGGTTTAAAAAGAGAAGTCCATGGTCAAACCGAGGTCCTTTGTTGCTGTAAATTTTACCGACAGCGTCACGCTGAAGGGTATATGAAATTACGATCCCAGCAAAAGAGGGCTTTTATTTTTTTTCCAAGATTGATGCCACTGTCGTTTGTAGAAAATGATTTTGGCAAAAAAGATGACAATTTATATACTGGGAACAAGGACATTATACCAGTACTATGCCATCAGACCGTACTCGAATCACGCACCGGTAACATGTCCGGACATAAATGCTTCATACACATGTAGATTCCCGATCTTATCAAGTCCCTGACTGTTTATTTGCATTACTTTGCGTTACTAGAGTCAAGGACGTTTGTGTCGTTTTACTTTTGCAATCGTAAATAATGCTTTGCTGGAATTTTTGCAGAAAAAAAAATAGCTCGCTTTAAATCTTATTCAAATCTCGAGTAAGCACATATTATTTAAGAATAGTCTGACTTGTTTCTTTGGTGAGCAAAGAAGAGCCACGTGATTTTCTTCAACGTTCGGTAAATCAGATCTTCATGTGAGCAAGTCCTTGATGTGAGCCAGTAAAATCATGTGTAAATTTTAACCGAAGATGTCTGTTGCTGTTACAATGTACCATTATGGTCTACTAAAGTGTAACACTCTTAGAAAATCCGTAATTTATGCAGTATTGTTATGCACGGTGAAGCACGCCGGTACATTGTCTGCTAATTAGCGGGATAAATCCCCAGGCGCGGCCGTGAACAGAACTGTTCCAGTCGAAGCCCGACCCGGGCCGGGAGCTTGGCAGATCAGCGCCAGGCCGCCTGCCAGCCCCGCACCGCCGGCGGTATAATGGGTCAAAGGTCATTAAAGTACGTTTCAAAACGACGTTTCGGAACCTAGACATGCTGGAGCATGCTTTGGTACTTTTTGTACCATTTCTGTAAGCAGCGCTTCATACCGGCCATATTTACTTGAAGCTGAATATGATTACATACCCATCGCCCTTTTCCCTGTGATCGTCTCCGTAGGTTAACTTACGTTAGTTGTACTGTTGTACTTCCTTAAAACATGTCCCTCGAAGCCTGGACTAACTTTCGCGCCAAAGATGGACCTGGATTTTTGGTTATGTATGTGCGGACCAATACCCTCTGTATTAACTGAAAACAACGCTGGCCATCGAATTAATTTCTAGTACATGAATTTTGTTGTGTACCCTGTCTAGTGTATACCATTGCCGGTCCATAAAGGCCGTTAGTTACGTGAATTTCAACAGCTTTGTAACAATTTTTGGCTAGCAGTGTGCTGCATAGTATTTGGAAAAAAAGTGCCTTAGCTTAATATCGTTCCTCGCATCCATTTGGTAGGACTAGGGCTAAAGCATTTAGAAAATTTAGCAAGGTGCGACGGCTGGAGACGTAAAAAATATATATTTCGTATAAATATTTTAATTATTTCCGTGATATGTTTTTCAGGTTCATCCTCTTTGTGATCGAGTTACGAGACTGTGCTGTGTGCAACATTTGCTGACTTTGCAGGATTAACATAACAGGATTACTTTCATTTTTTTCTCATTTGTTCCATTTTGACGTTCGGTTGTTGGCTAGCAAGTTTTTTGTTCCGTTTGGTTTGACGTTCGGTTGTTGGCTAGCAAGTTTTTTACCATTTTCGCATGCGCGAAAATGGTAACTCAGACGAGATTGAGATTGGATGGATGGATCAACGGTTCCACCCTTCAACGGCCATGCAGACATGCTAAGTCACCGCATGTCGCTAGATGTCGTTGTTGCGACGGCCATGCAGACATGCTGAGTTGCCGCATGTCGCTAGATGTCGTTGTTGCGAGTGCACTTTTTACCATTTATGCCTTGGACGTTTGTATACTTTCCATTATGGTTGCTAATTTCAAAATCATAGTTCTATTAATGTTGCATAACAAAGCTGCTGACAAAACAAACTTAATTTGTCTTGAACAATAACTTGATTTTATTATTTGCCAAAAATGTTGATAAAGACATGTCTATAATCACAGTAATCAAGGATTTTAATAAACTGCATAAATTATGTCAATGAGCATTAGCAGTGTGGATTAGTCTAGATGTTCAGATTTCCATTAGCCGGCAGTCCAGAGGGTCACACGTCCGACCAATCAAGGCGCTGCAGGCAAAGCTTATTAAAAGCCTCCTTTTCAGGCGTTCCCGGATCGGTGTTTTGTGTGTGTGTGTGTGTGTTGGGGGGGGGGGGGGTATTTTTTGACCAAACGTAGATCGCACGCAATAGAAGCTCCGGCCTACATAGCTGTCCGTGGAACTATTGATATTACCTGGGTGCCTAACTTTCACCAACATGTCTTTTGTATTTTAGGAAATTAATTAATTAATGAGTGAGTGTTTAATTAACTTAAATAGGTATTGCATTGTTTGGCAAGGTATTTTCCATTGACAATTTTTAATGGATCAGGTTGATCAGATGATATAATGTAAACAATTATATATGATTAGTAAAAGATGACTTTTGAAGTTCTCTTCGAGTATTATTACTCCGTGAAGGAGGTCAGGACCTCCGGACGGAGTGTTGTAATCGGCTGATTTTTCATGTTTGCAGTCAAAACACTGGGTTCTCTTTGTGTAATCGGCACGCAATTTTATACGCCGTCTGCGGGCATGCCCGTGTTGATGCACGAATGTGTATTTTTGCCGTTGCTGCTTTCGCGGTCAATGTAATATCGCAGACGCACCCCTACAATTACGAGGCGAATTGGAATGGTCCAGAAAAACGCGTTGTTTGGAATAGCAGTGGGGTTCAAAAAAGTTCATGCAGATACGGGGTGGTTTTTATAAGTGGTTCCAGATGTTTTTGCCCATGGTTAAGAGATGCCAAGTTTTTTGGAAGATGTTCGCAGCCAAAACGCATTCTTCCGTACGTCGCATTTCTGTGTAATTTCGCATGTGGTGTTGCATTATGTCCGGGATGATGCACGTCTTTTTATTTTACCGTAGCTGTTTTGATATTGGAGTAAATGCTTATTTTCGAAACATCCCCATTTCTTTGAAATGG